ACTTGTAGGGTTTCTCTCCTGTATGAATTATCTTGTGTTTAGAAAGTAATGATGGATAATAGAAGGCCTTGCCACACACTTCACACTTGTATGGATTCTCTCCTGTGTGAATTCTCTTGTGTTTAGAAAGTGATGATGCAAAACAGAATACATTTCCACATACTTCACACTTGTATGGTTTCTCTCCTGTATGAATTTTCTTATGGTTGGAAAGTTTTGAAGGATAATGGAAGGCCTTCCCACATACTTCACACTTGTGGGGCTTCTCTCCTGTATGAATCATTTTGTGTTTAGAAAGTAATGACGGATAATGGAAGGATTTGCCACATAAGTCACAATTGTAGGGTTTCTCTCCAGTGTGACTTATCTTGTGTTTAGAAAGTAAGGATGGAAAATGAAAGGTCTTGCCACATTCTTCACACTTGTAGGGTTTCTTTCCTGTATGATTTCTCTTGTGTTTAGATAGTGATGATGAGAAGCGGAAGGCCTTCCCACATACTTTACACTTATATGGCTTTTCTCCTGTGTGAATTATTCTGTGCTTAGATAGTGATGATGAAACATGGAAGCTTTTGCCACATACTTCACACTGGTAAGGCTTTTCTCCTGTATGAATTCTCTTGTGTTTAGTAAGTAGTGATGGATAATAGAAGGCCTTCCCACAATCTTCACACTTGTAGGGTTTTTCTCCAGTATGCATTCCCTTGTGTATTAATAGTAATGATGGAAAGCGGAAGGCCTTTCCACATACATCACACTTGTATGGTTTCTCTCGTGTGTGGATTTTCTTATGTTTAGAAAGTCTTGAAGGATAAACAAAGGCCTTGCTACATACATGACTGTTATAGTGATTCTCTCCTTTATGAATTCTCTTGTGTTTAGAAAGTAATAAAGGAATGCAGAAGGCCTTGCCACATACTTCACACTTGTAGGGTTTCTCTCCTGTATGAATTATCTTGTGTTTAGAAAGTTTTGATGGAACATGGAATGCCTGACCACATACTTCACACTTGTAGGGTTTTTCTTCTGTATGAATTATCTTGTGTTTAGAAAGTAAGGATGGATAATGAAAGGCCTTGCCACATACTTCACATTTGTAGGGTTTCTCTCCAGTATGAATTCTCTTGTGTTTAGAAAGTGATGACAGAGAGCGGAAGGCCTTCCCACAGTCTTGACACTTGTATGGTTTCTCTCCTGTGTGAATTCTCTTGTGTTTAGATAGTGATGATGGAAAGCAGAAGGCCTTTCCACATTCCTCACACTTGTATGGTTTCTCTCCTGTATGAATTTTCTTATGATTGGAAAGTCTTGATGGGTAATAGAAGGCCTTCCCACATACTTCACACTTATATAGTTTTTCTCCTGTATGAATTGTTCTGTGTTTAGAAAGTAGTGATGAAACATGGAAGGCCTTGCCACATACTTCACACTTGTAGGGCTTCTCTCCTGTACAAACTTTCTTATGTTTAGAAAGTCTTGAAGGGTAAACAAAGGCCTTGCCACATACTTCACCGTTATAGTAATTATCTCCTGTATGAATTCTCTTGTGTTTAGAACATGATGACAGAGAACGGAATGCCTTTCCACATACTTCACACTTGTACGGTTTCTCTCCTGTATGCATTTTTGCATGGGTAGAAAGTCTTGAGGGATAATCGAAGGCCTTGCCACATACTTCACATGTGTAGGGATTCTCTTCTGAATGAATTATCTTGTGCTTAGAAAGTAGTGATAAAATTCGGAAGGCCTTTCCACACACTTCACACTTGAATGGTTTCTCTACTGAATGAATTTTCTTATGGTTGGAAAGTCTTGATGGATAATGGAAGGCCTTGCCACATACTTCACACTTGTAGGGTTTCTCCCCTCTATGAATTATTTTGTGTTTAGAAAGAAATGATGAAATGTGGAAGGCTTTGCCACATACTTCACACTTGTAGGGTTTCTCTCCTGTGTGAATTCGTTTGTGTTTAGAGAGTATTGATGGATAATGGAAGGCCTTGCTACATACTTCACACTTGTAGGGTTTTTCTCCTGTATGAACTCTCTTGTGTACCAAAAGTAATGATGGAAAGTGGAAGGCCTTTCCACATACATCACACTTGTATGGTTTCTCTTCTGAATGAATTTTCTTGTGTCTGGAAAGTCTTGATGGATGTTGGAAGGCCTTGCCACATACTTCACACTTGTAGGGATTCTCTCCTGAATGAATTGTCTTGTGTTCAGAGAGTAATAATGGAATGCAGAAGGTCTTGCCACAAACTTCACATTTGTAAAGTTTTTCTCCTGTATTAATTCTTTTCTCTTCAGAAAGTAATGATGGACTATGGAAGTACTCAGTGCATTCTTCACACTTGTAGGGCTTCACTCCTAAATCAATTATCTGGTGATTTTGAAACACTTTCGTCCAGTCAAAGACTTTGCCACATTCTGTGCATGTACAGCATTCTCCCCCTGGGAAGGATGGATTGAGAAATTAATGAAAGTAGAACAAAATTCTGTACATTTACAATGCTTCTGTTTAAAAACCAACACTTTCTCATACTTGCATTTGTCTTTATAAATGAGAAGCTACATTCAACTTTTTATACCTGTATTAAATGAAGCCTAAGTTAAAATACAGAAGCGAAAATCATGCAACCTTCTACTAAAAGAAGAGCAGGACAACAGAGAACAAGGAAATAAGGATATTAATCAAAGGAGTATTAATTAAAATGTAAGCAAAACATAATATCAACTAAGAAAACCCATTTTGTAAATGCAAATCAGCCCCAACACAAATACCGAAATTTTATGACTAGATAAAAAAAAAGTATAAAACAGTCTACCTTTGAACACTGCAGAACAAACAATATTTCTATATTGTATACATTATATGTATATAATATATTAAATATATATGATATAGTTATAATTATATTAGTATAGAGTTTAGTTTTTCAAATTATGAATAATAAATTTCAGTGGCTCAAGAAAGAAGTTTATGTGTATCTTCAGGCATGATGTGTTTGTACAGAATGTAAAGCTTATCTTGGTATTGTTCAAACACTGATTGGTGTGTTTCTTATCTACTTGCTGAGCACACATGGTACTGTCATGCTCACTCTAAGAATTTCCCTTGTCAAGTCTGTGTTTCCATGTTATCTAACTTGTTCCCATGTTATTATCTAACTTGTCAATAAAATTGATCAGCCAATAGATCAACTGTAGAGAGGAAAGAGTTGGACATCTGCCAGCACAAGGAAGAAGAGACAGAGAGAGGGTGGGGGGCTTGGAGGGGTAAAGGAAAGGACTCACTACAAGGAAGGGGTCTAGAGAGACATCATACAAAGACCCCTGAAGCCCAGAGAGCCAGACGAACACAAAAATGCAAGAATCCTGATTATTTTGTCTGGGAGGTAGCCAGATTAACTTAGAAGATTAGAATTGATTATTAACTGCCCAGTAATTGTCTTGTGAATCTTATCAAACAAATGTTATAGTTTCTGTCTCTTTCATTTTGGAGCTAGCCAGGGATAGAGACAAATCTTCACTTTTAAAAATCCATGTACAACTATCCTATATATAAAAAAGAAACATTCAAGTTAAAGATTACTTAGAAATGGCAGAGCTTTGGCTGTCATGGAGAACACAAGTTAATCTCATGATAGAAGAAAACACAGCTTATCAGACATAATGCATCCTTAATGTTAGATAATGTCTTTTCACGGAAAAAGACAGAAAATTAGATCTTTAAAGATGATTTAAACCGGAATATTGTGTCTCGATGGATTGAAGTTAGGTCTTAGAGTTTCCCACTCTGTTCTGACACCCTCGTCCTGACACACCTGGGTGCACAGTGGCAGCCACTTCTCTCTTCACATCTGAAGGCTCTTGTATTTGCTCCAGAAATGTGACCAGGTGTGGCTTAGAGGAAGCAAGACCTGTTTGTGGGAAAAGGAAACAGCAGTGTTAGAGAATTCTCCTGGGAACTAAAATGTCCTTTCCAGGACTGTGAGCATAAGGACTGAGAGGTACAATAAGGGAGTAGTGAAGACTCGTTTTTCACATGCTTTCTGATGGGCACATCGGAATCCTTAGGAGAAACTTAGTACGTGTGGGTCCTGAGCTTCATATCCCTTCTTTACAAGGACGAGTATAAAACTGAAGTGTGTGACAGTCTCTGTAAGGTGTGGCACTTACTGTCTAATACAAATGAGACATGTAAGAGGGGTGGAGAGAGGAGGAACTAACACAAGAAATAGTTCTGAGGTGCATAAATAATTTTAAACTTCTTTAGAAGTAGTCCTGTAAACAGATATTGTTGGAAGCACAAGTTCTCATGAGGTACTGTACAAAGGGAACAACTTTCATGCTCACAATTGATAATTCATTATGGAAGGCATTCTCACCCAGGAACTCAAGGTTGCTGTAATTCTCCAACATCACATCCCTGTACAGTTTCCACTGAGCAGGACTCAGGCATTCCCGCTCCTCTGCAGAGAAATCAATGACCACGTCCTTGAATGACAGCATTTCCTGAAAAAGAAAAAAAGAGGAAATACCACACACTGTTGGGGGTTGATCTGGTGCTTCTATGTGTTCAAATGCTAAATCTATATCCACAAGATCTAGCTCCACAAGACCAGGAAATTCTAAATTACACCTTCATTTATTGTGTAACCCTTGCTCTCAAATTTAAAACTATTCATTAAATAAAACTGGCAACAGCCAATTATCAGGAAAAATAGAGGGTGATAGAGCTTCAGTGACCGGGGTGAGGGTCAAAGGTAAGGACTATGACGACAAGGGGAAATAAGGAGAAGGGGAAGACAGGAGGACATGAGGTCTCTCTTAGACATGATGGATCAGTAGCACATGCCCAAGTGAGATCCCCAACCCCCAGGAAACACTGATGGAGCTGAAATAATTCAGGAAAGACTCAATCAGCAAGGAGTTATGGAGAACAGCAGAGGAAGTACCCAGTTTAGGTTTAGAAAAATAGATTAGGCATAATTCCCCAGGAATTGTGCAAAAGCCAAATAAATAAATCATAGTGTGAGTCTCATTCATTTGGAAGCTAAACTGGGATAGAAATAACCACAATTAACTTATATATTATGCTAATTATAATTATCAATAATAACATAGATACAAAGATGTTGTGGATAGCCCTGGTCTTATATTTTGATGCTAATTCCACTTTTCCAGGATGGGCTGCAGAGGAGGAGTGAATCAGTATACAGGTGGCTTCTTGTGAACCTTCTACCCACCTTAATTTGTAAAATGAAGGTTAGAGCCAGTGATTGGGCAGTAGAAGAGGTAGGCGGAGCTAGGAGTTGGGAGAAGGAAAGAATGAGGGAGAAGAAGGGAAGAGAGGAGAAAAGATGTCTGTGCATGTCCCTGTGCCTGTAACAGTCTAAGGGAGTTATTCTTATCAAGGTTAGGTAATTGGGTTAACAATTCTAACTGTGTGGGTATCTTGAGTACTGAGTATTTGCTGATATATAAATCTACTTGGTTAATCTTAAACGTTAAGAGTCTTATTTCTACCAGGTACTGGGAATTGTTATATCTGCTGCATGGAGATGGCAGATATTCCCCGGGTTTTGGGAACTAGACGCCACAGAGCTGACCAGCAGAGGCAGCAGACACTCCAACATCTCGTGGGTCCCAGGCCGGGGCCTCCGTTAGTGGCCTCTGTTAGTGCAGGAAGTTAGAGAGGGAACATGGCAGCCAGGCCCAGAGAAAGCGGGACATGTCCACCTTTCTAATACCTACCGCTACACAAAGAGGCATCAAGCACTTTTTCATATAAATCTAAAGCTGGTCCTGAGAGGAGAATTGGAACTACTTCTGATATAGGTAAGTAATATCCCTAAAATACTCCTCATCTGGTGTTGTTTTAAGAAAAGTGGATGACAGAAGGTCCTAGAAACTCCTATGACATAATACTTCTAAAAACAATAAACTGGAGAACAAGGGTAACTCCAGTACAGTGTGCTGGGGCTGGAGAATGGCTCAGTAGTTAAGAGCACTGGCTGCTCTTCCACAGGACATGGGGTTGATTCCTAGAGGCCTCATGGCCACTCACAACTGTGTATAACTCCAGTCAGAGAGGATCAGACAATCTCTTAGACATGAACGGTAACAAAATACAAACACACATATGCCTTAGTTACAGCTTCTGTTCCTGCCATGAAACTCCATGACAAAAATTTACCTTTGAGAGGAAAGGGTTTATTGGGCTTACACTTCCACAGCACAGTTCATCAATGAAGCAAGTCAGTACAGGGTCTCAAACAGGACAAAAACCTGTTCTGTCTGAATAATGGAGGGGTTCTGCTTACAGGCTTGCCATACATGGCTTGCTCAGCCAGCTTCTCTATAGAACCCATAGCCACCAGGCCAGATGTAGCACCTCATGTAACAGGTCATGCTATGTACCATCAGTCATTAGGAAAATGTTATACAGGCTGACACACAGCCTGATCTTAGGAAATTATTTCCTAAATTGATATTTCCTATACTCACATAAGTAAAGTTTGTTTCTGTTGCAGGTAATATTTTAAAAACGGTGGCACCCAATCCAGCTTGTTCTTAATCAATCGCCATGTTCCCGACTAGGCTAGGCCTGAGGTCGTGAGCAGTGGTGTGTTCTAGGTGCTGCCATGCCACTCACGAGACGCCAGCATGAGAGATGGCTCTGCCAATCTTCCACGCTGTCTCCACAAGGCTGGGCTGAGCCCAGACCATCCCACCATCCACGTGGTACCCGGTAGAAATGAGACTCTAATGTCTAAAGATTATCCAATAGCTTTATATATTTGGTAATGCTCAACTAACAAGATGCCCACATAATCAGAAGTATTTACCAATTAACTAACCTAGATATAAGTTGTTACCCAGGACTGCTCTCTATGCATGTATGGCCATCGATGGCTCCTACATCTCTGTTCCCCCCAGCTCCTCCTCTTCCTTCTCCTCTTCCTCTCGTTACTCCTCCTCTTCCTCTCCTTACTCCTCCCACCTTAGCTCCTCCCAACTTGTGGGGAAAATATGCCGCTACATGTTTCAACTGCACAATAATCTAGCCAGCACAAATAAAAAATAAATAGTAAAATTCTGAAAAAAAATATACGTTAGTGTTCCCTGCTTGTATTATAATATAGCACACATTGCCTATATGTCTCACAGTAGAGAGCCATGGTGATGGAGAAGATACTTCTCAACCCAATATGCACAATCACAATGACAAACACAATGAAGAAGCAGAAAAGATGAACACCTGTGGGCTGAGGTTAGCATTCTGAACATGTACAGAGAGAGGCAAACGACAAAGGCAAATGACCAAGGCTCTGAGTTTGAGTAGCCAATGGGTAGAACAATACATGAAGAATTTCTTTACAAGTGGAATAAATTATACTAACAAAATGATAGTTTGAAAATTTAGCAATAAGTTGAGTCACTGTGGGGATCTATACAGACCCAAGGCTGTCTCAGAGGCCCCCATGAAAGGACAGTGGGAACTTCAGTTCTCTGTCTTTATCAGACAGTCGACTTGGCCAGGGAAATGTGACAGAGGATAGATACAGTGCCATGAACGAGTCATTGTTGCTGTTATAGAGGGATCTAACTCTTCTCCTGGGCCTGAGGATATCTGTCCTAAGGCAGCTGCTTCTGAGATACCCTGAGCTCTCATTGTCAACACTGTGTGATTCATATCTCTGCAGGGGCTCCTAGCGCAGCACCCACTTCCTCATTTCCAAGCCCCTCATCTGTGTCTCTAAAAGGTGCAAGCCAGGTTTCTCCCCTCACACAACCCCCATCCCATACTTCCAGGCGAGTCGGTGCCCCGCTCTGTGTGTATTGATAAACAGTCTCATCTGTTATTCTCAGCCTGTTTCCTTCCTTTCTTCTTTTTGATCTGTGCTCACAAATCTAACATCCTCCATATTTTCAGAAATGACCATATTGCATTCTGTAACACCACCGAATAATATCACAAATTAAGCTGTGAATTGAGGAGTGTAACACAGAGACTGTGTACCGCAATTCCCTAATTCTTTTACTTTTGTGATATCATTAAAAATCCATTCAAACTGAAGACATTCATTTCTAACCATATTAAGATGACCTCAAAATCACAGAAAAGGAGAATATAAAGAAAAGCAACGTGTGTGTTAAAAGAATATAGAGCTGTTTTATAACTGAGAAGAATAAAGGAAGCTGTTATTAAGTCGGACACATAAAGCTAATAAAACAACAATTAATTCTGCAGCCTGTAGGCTGACTGGTAGTCATGCCTGCATTTTTTCCTAAAAACTCATATGGCCAAATCTCATAGCAAAAATAAACAATATAAAAAATCGTGCTGGCATTTCTCCTCAGTATCCTACAAGATGTCATAAGATAGAAAGATTTCCCATGCGCATGGGTAAATAGGATTCACAGTGAAAATGGCCATCTTGTCAAAAATAATCTACAGATTCAAAGCACTTCCCATCAAAATTTACACATAATTCTTTACAGACCGTGAAAGAACAATTCTCAATTTCATATTTTAAAAGAGACCCATGTTGTTGTACCATCTCTATGTTGTACAAGGCAGCATACAATTTTGACTTCATATACAGCTATATTTTTCCTAAAGATTAGCAACATTAACTATGAAACGTCTATTTATTCTAGAAATGGTCAGAAACTCATTGAAAATTAGAGTAGACAGGACAAGGTGGTCTGAAGCCCATGCTCCCTGAGAGTAGACTTGAATGCCATAAGCCAGGCTCCTGCTTTCTAACCCTTGGTTTGACTGAAGAGTGACAATACAAGCAAGATCACCTGAGATAGGAGGAGGGACTGTGGAGGAGACATCCTCAGAAAACAAACACACAGAAAAACAGGTCTGACTGTGAATGCAAAACTCTTGGAAGGAGTCTGTGTGTGCAGAGACTGATGGCCCATGTGGAAGTTCATTGAGGAGCAGAGCCTGGAACTTTGCAGGTTCAAGGGGCAGCTGACTTACCTTTGCTGGTTTTCCCTGCAGGACAGTCAGTCCTTGCCTCACTCTGTAGTGAACCACACAGCTTGTGACAATAGATAAAAACCTCTCAGAACCCACTGACTTGGCAGAAAATGAGATTCTATCAGTCCAAAAGCTAAAATCTCATCAGATGGTACCTTAGGCGAATAGAATATCTCCCATGTCTCATAGTACTTGCCTCTATCAGACACACACCAATGTATTTTAAGCTTTCCTTGACTAATGACTTTATTTGTTCTGTAATAACATGAAACAGATTCCATGTTGGAGCACAGAACTTGGATTAAACTAAATCTGCGTTCTCAGATGGCTCTGGACTAAACTATTCCCTTAACCTTTCAAGATGAGAACTGTGCATTTTGCATGGACAGGAGCCTACTATGTGTAAATCATGAGACCCCAAGTGTGCCACAGCTTTCCAAATTTATCTTACAGCCTTTCCAACACAGTACAAAAACTTGGGGAATACTTTCTAGAACTATTCAAGAAGCACCAGTGAACCAGAAAGTCACATTGAGAGAGCATTTAGGAGAGTTTAGACAGTGATGATAGTGTGAACAGACAGAAGTAAATGATGTGGTAAGAGAACAACGTACAGAGCCCGGCACATTAGCAAAGCCATTTCTCCCTTCCCTTTCAGACATTCCAGCCCCTCCCGGAGAGCTTTCTCTCATCGCATCTATCCTATAAGAAAAGCCGTCCAAATTTTGGGGGAAAAATCCACATACTCAGATAGGATTATTGGGGTATTACTGTCTAGTGATTTTAATCTGAAGTGTAACATCTTAATTATTTGGATTATGCAACTACAGGTTCATACCAATTCCAAGATTATTCTGTGGCTACATAGCCATGTATTGTGATGACTCAGGTCACAGCGGTGCCCATTAGAAATTCCTACTCAACCCGAGGCATCCATAAATCTAACAAGTCATTCCAAAGGACAAGGGACACACAACAGTCGCCCTCACAAGACTCTGTCCTTGGACACTAGGAACTTCAGGAAGTTCAGTAAGTCCCAAGACGCTGACTACAGTCACGTGAGCACGGGTCAGCTAAACATAGCAGGTTCTCAGCAAAGTTGAGTGAGCTCCCTTCAGCATCTCGCCACAGGACGTCAGCAGACCCAGCCTGCCCTTGCAATCCTGTTGTTTCAAACATTCTCCACGGTCAACCCTGCTCCCAGAGGAGTGGCCCACCCTAGGTCAGCACAGCATCTCCAGGTCAGCAGCTTCCCCTGTCTCCCAACCAGTCCGGGTAAGCGCCCTCTGCGCCCGACCCGCCACCCTGCACAGTCCCTCAGATCTGCAGGACGGCGCTGCTCCCCGCACCAACCTCCATGTCAGAGATCCAAGCTCCGCTGAGCAAGACACTCGCTTAACTTTGGGGAGAAGCAAGGTTTAAGAACGAATCCGGAAGTTTGATACCAACAGCCCCTTCTGGTGACGTCATAATTGTTGGGACTACATTTCCCACAAGTCAGTGCAAAGGACTTCCAGGAACACACCAGTACTGTGAGCAAGTGAAATGGAAAAGAAAGTCTTCCGTACATGGGCAGCCACAGGGCATTCGGCTCCTTTGAAGTGCAGTGGTCTCAGCACGCGATGCTAGCCTGTGAGTCGAGCCTTTCACAGCGATGTTTATCACATTTGCTAGTAATTTCTGCTAAAACGTGATTTTAAAGCTCAAATCTACTTATAAAATCACACTAACACATGGGAAATCATGCTTTCATGGTCTGCTTTACTTAAAAATAAGGAAGCAGGAAGCTAATGCAGGACTGAGAATTTCGTTAAGATGCTTAATGAAACCATGCTTGGTGATCCCACCTGACATGCAACATCTCAGGTGCTTAAGAGAGGGGGATTGGAAATCAAAGCTATCCACCACCAGGTAGGTGTTCTCTGAGCACAGGCTTTCCTCCTCCTCATCTCCCAAGAGGAGGCGCAGAGCTCCTGGGATCACACCTGGTGCGTGTACTGACTCTTGGTACAATGTGCACTATAGGATTTCCCTCGATCCCTTTGATGTTCCTTAGCGAATTTCCTCTCTCCTCTGAGCATGTTATCATTCATGTTTGAGACTGTTTAAACATTTGGTATCTGTCTTGAACGCTCCTCAGCAGAACCCTGAGGTGATTCGTCCTTGAATACAAAGGTATCAAACGAATGTCCCTAGGACCGTCAAATGAGCTCACTGTCGTAAAGAAGCTACACTGGAACCGTGGAGTCCCGAGAATGCCCCATCTCTTCTTAGGAAGGTTTATTCCTGGGCAGTCCATGCTTGAGACAAAGGTACAAACCCCATCCATCACAAGGAAGACTTCATGCTTCCATGATGCATACTGATTCCCAGGGAAGCTGTTTCAGAGCAGAGACTGTGAAGTTTCTATTCAATTCTTCTATTCCATACAGTTCGTTAACCCCGCGATACAGAACAGTTTCCTCCACTTAAAGAAACCAGAGTCAACAAGCAGTAGAGCAACCTGGACTTTTGATTGGCAAATCTGTTTGAATGAGGTCATGACTGATCTGTTTCCCTGAATGCTGCAGTGAAGGGCGTTGCCAGAAACCACAAGGACTTAACATTTCTGAGCATAGCTATGCTTCCAGCTTCCAGTGTGTGTTTGTGTGTGTGTGTGTGTGTGTGTGTGTCTGTGTATACATGTATGTTTGTGTCTGTTACATGGATACCTACCTGAGAGGGCACTGACTCATTTGAGAGGCGCTGTTCCCTGAACAATCAGCATTCACTCTCAACTGTTTTTCAGTCTTCATTTCCTCCTAGTGAGATTGGTTAATTCAAAAGGAGGAGGAGGAACTTCATGTGGTGGAGGCACAAACTGAACATGCAGACTCTAGAGGAAGCTTCATTCAGCATGACATTAGAGGCCTAAGTACACTTAGGGAAAGTTTACCATAGCCCCTATTCTCAGGCCTTATATGTTTGTTTACACCATGTTGGCAGTTTCAACTTAATCACGCATACTATCATTTTATAATACCTTGATCATTTAAGTTTCTCCCATACGAACATTCTACATTAGATGTGATGTTTGCCCAAATTCGTTTAAAATCTATGCTTACAGTAAGCTAAAGAGATTGTTCAGTAGTTGAGAGTAATTAATATTCTTACAGAGAATGAATTTGTTTTCTAATAATATTATTCTTGCCGAGGTGGCTATGACATGTGAGGTTTCCACATATACATGGACAAAAAAAAGTTTGCCAAAAGAAGGAGCATGTGTAATGTCCATTTACCAGAGACCAGTAGGCACGAGTCCTCTGGGATTTACTCTCACAGGCAGAGAATGATGGGTTTCTGGGCAAATGGCTTTTGCCTGACAGCCTGTTTTGTTATTCTAGATTGATAGCATAAAGGACAAGAGTTTTGATGATGAATTTTATAACTAGCTTCTGCTTGCTCTAAGGAGAGCAAAGATAAGATTGTGTAGCAAGATCAGCTCGCCGATTGCTGTCTTCCAAGGACCCAGATTAAAGTGTGCCCGGAGATGATGTACAAAGCATAGGGAAGTTCTACTTTGTAATAAAAGTTGTAACTTAAATGAAAGTGAAGATATGGCAGTTTTGTTTAGCGCCAGAGTAGCGGTTTCAATAGCTGGGAACAGTTTCACTACATATTGTGAATCAGAGTAGAGATTAAAAGAACAGTATTGTAACTTAGTAAAGGCAAAAATCACAGCAATTAGTGCAGAAGTTTCAGAGGTTTCTTGAGTAAAAGTTTCACTATTAATGATAGCTACAGCCTTGTCTTTTGCAGATTCATCAGGAAAAACTAAAGCTACACTGGGCAAGGGCTCAATCAAATACTGTAAGGGAAAAATAATCCGTAGGGTTTTCAAAAATTGTAACAAAGGACGACTGGGCAAATGGTGTAAACTCTGGCCTGTAAAGTCAATTAGCACAACCTGCCAATCTTCTGAAAAGTAAAAGAACTTCAGTCAGTTGTTTATTATTGTAAGACATCTATACCCATTATTTCCTTACTCTACTTTCACCCTTTGGAAACCACAGGAGTCACCAGAGTAATGTAGGAAGTATCAATTGTTCTATGAGTGACAGGGAGATGGATCCACTCTAAGGTACCATCTTGCCATAACCCCCCGTAGGTGTATGAATAGTAGCCAGCACTATAAAGTCCCATGGATTCTCAAGTTTTATCTTCTGTAATCATTTATTAATAGCCTGTTTTTTATTTATTAATGCATTTTTGCTTCTTCAGTTAAGGGACAAGAAGACTCTAAGGATATCAAATAAAGGCTTAAGCTCCTCAGTGGTTAATTCAAGAAAAGGATGAATCCAATTAACTTCCCCTAAAGTTCTTTGAAAGATCACACATGTGTGATCTGCCAGAAACCCAAAGCTGTGTAACAAAAACTCACCACTACATATATACAACTAGTTACTCCGGGTCAATTAGGAATAAGCACTTAAAATGAAGAATCCCACGAATACCTAAATAAAACTACCCAAGTATTAAAGAAACAAAGTACATGTAAGAAATTTCCAGTTTTGATAAGACGAAGTTGAGTGGAGAGGAAATGAGACCCATAACATTGGTTCTAAAGGACAATGGTCGTGCTACACGTGTAGCTAGAGATTAAAAGGAACAGCCAAAAATATTAAGATAAGTAGGAAATGGAGTTTCTTCCTAAGCTTGGTGTTTTCTTTGGAATGACACCACAGTCGTCTTCACAACGTATGCAGAGCTTACACCATTTTTTAACTACATGCTTTTCAAATAATCAAGAATCTTACTCTGAGTTTTTCTACTTGCTATGAAAGATTATTTGGTTGCTGCTGTTTCTAACAACAATAACATATATGCATCTTTCCAACTGTTCATTACATAGTATCTTATAAACTTCAAATATTATGATGTATGTTACCAAATGAAAAGGAGGAATAGTTCTTAAATGAAATGAAATAAGAAATGAATGTGCGTGTGTCTTACAATGTTCACTATGGTACTAAAATTTAAAAGCAATTTTTGAAAACCATTAAATTAACACTACTAAAGCACATAAAAGGTAAAATAAAACTTATGTACTTTTATAAACAATGTATTATGTGATGCATAAATACAGAAATATTAGAATAAGCACTGAAATTGAACAGCAATCATCAAAGTTCTGTGAAGATCAGATGTGTGAGTGTTTCAGGATGAATGGTTGACCATTTATAACAAGAAGTCAACTTTTTCAAAATTACTTTCCATTTTTAATGATTTATTTATTTTATGTATATGAGTACACCATTGCTCTCTTCAGACACACCAGAAGAGGGCATCAGACCCCATTGCAGATGGTTGTGAGCTACCATGTAGTTGCTGGGAATTGAACTCAGGACCTCTGGAAGAACAGTCAAGTGCTCTTAACCACTGAGCCATCTCTCCAGCCCTCAAAATTACTTTCTACTTCAGCAGTTCTCAAATTTCTTCTGAAAACATGTTCAAAAGTCTCTCAGAGCTAAAGTGCATCACGTTATAATTGTGAATCTTGGTCAATGTGGATGACTACCAGAAATGTGTGCTCTTCAAGGCTGAAGAGGTTCTACAGCAAATTTTTGTTAGAATTTGACATAAAATACAAGAGTCAAAAAAGGGCATAACTTTATTTCTATAAAACACGTGATATAAAAGCAAGTATGATGAGTAGATAAATAATGATATAACAAAAGATAATATGCTACAAATTATGTAAAGTACATCAACATTAGGAACAGATTAATTACTCTACCCATCCCCAGTAATGTGTAATTAAAATGTTGCCTAGGTCCCTTATGTTCCGATTTGTTTCTTTGCTTTGATAAACCCCAAGACCCAAAAACTACGTGGGGAAGAAAGGGTGTATTTCATCTTACACATTACAGTCCGTCACTGAAGGAATCCAAGGCAGGTACTTAAGGTAGAAACCTGAGCAAAGAACATGGGGGAATGCTACTTGCTGGCTCATTCCTAGTGTCATTTTCAGGGACCTTTCTTACACAGCCTAGGTCCACAGCCTAGGGATGGTACCATCCACAGTGGACTGGACCTGTCTTCATCAATTGCACTCAAGAGAATGTAACAGTCTCTCACTCGCCGGCCATCTGACAGAGATGACTCTTCAGCTGAGGTTCCCTCTTCCTAGGTGTCTCAGGTGGACATCCAAAATTAGCCTTCACACCTCACTAAGGTAGTTTTTCTATCTTATTTAAGAAAGCTATGTAAAAATTAGTAATAGAAAAAACTTAGTAAAAAAAAAAGAATGCAATACTAAACACAATGCTGAGAATACATTAAGAACAGCTCATTTTTTTATTACAAAAGTCAATAAACTTCATATTCCAATATTGTATTGGAATTGTATTGGTCTTTGGGGGAAAAAAAAACAGACTCTGCAACCTCAGGACTCAGTCTTCTTGTTCTTCTGATAAAGTCACTAGTTGTTGTGATCTTTTCACTTCTCAAAATTGAGCGCATGTTACAATTTCAATTTATAACACACTGATGTCCTCACAGACTTATCTGCATGATCCCAAAGTGTGTAATGAGTTATACACTCATACAAAACATTTCCTTACCAATTATAAGCAGTATTTGTTGCTTTGCTAAATTCTATACAACTCCTGGAATTTGTCTCTTATGATAATTCCTGAATATCTCTTAAGATCTATGTGATGGGTAAAGTCTTGCAACATACTGTATACTGCTTTTTCCGGTAACAGTTTGGTTTCCTCAGTTTTATATATTTGACAGTGTTCCTTCCCGAGTCATTGTGCACGTACACAGTCTGATTATAATTCGCTCATGGTCATGAGTATTTCCCCCACCACTTGCATCCGTAGGGTTCCTCTGAAATGAAAATGTTTATGCTGCAGAAGTATAGATCGCTCAACGCAACCATCTTCTTCACATTACAAGATCTCTCCAGCACGGAGCGGAGGATGTTGAATAAGGGTTGAGCTATTATTACAGGTCTTCCCTTGTTCCTTTCGTTTCTAAGGTTCCTCTCTCATATGAACCCTTTAGTGTTGAATAACCAGTAAATGATTATAGAAGGCTTGGCGACAGTGGTTGCACTAATCTGGATTTTCTCTAGTATGAATTCTATAGTGCCGAGTAAAGCCTGAACAATTTTTAAAGGCTTTCCCACATTGCTCACATTTGTAGGGCTTCTCTCCAGTATGGAGTCTCCAATGATGTTTAAGATTGGAAGAAGAGTTAAAGGCCTTGCCACATTCTTCACATTTGTAAGGTTTCTCTCCAGTGTGAATTCTCTCATGTTGGGCAAGGCTTGAAGTATAATTAAAGGCTTTGCCACAGTCTTTACATTTGTAGGGTTTCTCTCCGGTATGAATTCTTTGGTGTTGAATTAGATTATAACAATTATTAAAGGCTTTCTCACATTCTTTGCATTTATAGGGTTTTTCCCCACTATGTATTCGCTGATGTTTCATAAACGTTGAACAAATGCCAAAAGCTTTCCCACACTCGTTACATTTATATGGTTTCTCTCCGGTGTGAATTCTCTGGTGGTAAATAAGGTTTACAGAACAGTAAAAGGCCTTGCCACATTCCTTGCATTTGTAGGGTTTCATGCCAGTATGGATTCGACGATGCTTATACAGGTATGAAGAACAGCTAAAGGCCTGCCCACAGTCATCACATTTGTAGAGTTTCTCTCCCCTGTGAATTTGTTGGTGTTGGTGAAGGCTGGAGGAACAGTTAAAAGCCTTGCCACATTCTTTGCATTTGTAGGGTTTCTCTCCAGTATGGGTTCGCTGGTGCTTAGAAAGAATGCAGCGAACGTTAAAGGCCATGCCGCATTCTTCACACTTGTAAGGTTTCTCCCCAGTGTGAATCCTCTGGTGTTTAGAAAGTGTGGAGTGAACATTAAATGTCTTTCCACATTCGTCACATTTGTAAGGTTTCTCTCCAGTGTGAATTCTCTGGTGTTTAGAGAGGGTTGTACGAACACTAAAGGCCTTGCCACATTCTTCACATTTGTAGGGTTTCTCTCCAGTATGAACTCTTCGGTGAACAATAAGCCCTGAACAATTAGTAAAAGGTTTACCACACTCTTCACATCTGTAGCGTTTCTCTCCAGTATGGATTCTTTGATGCTTACCCAGATATGAAGAGCAGTTAAAAGCTTTGCCACACACTTCACATTTGTAGGGTTTCTCCCCAGTATGAATTCTTTGGTGCTGTTTAAGGCTGGAAGAATAGTTAAAAGATTTGCCACATTCATCACATCTGTAGGGTCTCTCTCCAGTATGAATTCTTTGATGTTGAATAAGGACTGAGTTCCTATCAAAGGCTTTCCCACACTCTTTACATTTATGGGGTTTTGATCCTGTTAAAAAAGCATTGAAGTATCAATAAAAGCATACCATTACCCTTTATATTTATGCTGCTCATTCTTAATATGAATACAGCATTATGTTTTTACCAAAAATGATGTAATCATCTTAAAAATCAAATGATGAAAAAATGTTTTAGTTCATCTAGAAGCAGCATAAAGCTTTGCTAAGGGAACATGTCTGTCAGTAAATACAAAAGTTACGTAATTTCTAGGAGCGCTCACTTTGAAGATTACAACTATTAACCAATGAAGAGAAAAAATACATATGGCTTAAAATTGGGAATAATATTTTTACAATCAAATGATAACAACACTTGCATAGACCAATGGTATAGATATTTTAATGTGTTACATTGTCCATATAGAATACAATAACTTATACTGTCATCTAGAAAAATATATTGGGTAGAGCTAAGCAGGTTATCATATAATGTAAAGGAGTCTCGACTAAAAAAATGAAGCATAGAAAATAGAGATGCAAAATAAGAAAAAGAGGATAAATTTGGGAGGCAGGAATTTTTGAAAGACTATCAAAGTTCTGGTAAGCAAAACTTATCTAAATGTGTAATGTTCAGCTATGACTACACACCTATAAAAAGCACAGCATTTTAAAATACTATACTTGAATAAGTGGCAACAAATAAAAATAAACTCAACCCTCATAAGAAAATATTATAGGGCCAGCAAGATGGCTCAGAAGATAAAGCATACTGACTCCAAGCCTGAATATCTCTTCTCCATCCCAACCAATAGGCTGGAAGGAGAAAATCAACCCTTGTATTTTATCATCTGATCTCAAAATGAGCAGTGTCACGTGTACACACATGCACACATGCATGCATGCACACATGCACACACAGGCAAACTCTGATGAAACTGGTTTCGTTGATGAGCATGTGAAGGAGGTTAGAGATGCTTATCTGCAGCGTTACTGTGTTACTAAGGCTGCTAGAAACACGGAAACATTTTCTGAGTCATAAAAAATATAGAAAAGTCTGTTATCATCTAGACCTCCCAGGAAAAATACCATGGTGATGGCTCAGCAGTCAACGTGCGTGCCACACAAGCATGAAGACTGGGGTCTGTATACCCAGAACCTTTGTAAATGCCAAGTGGACAACATAGCCAGCTTGTCATTCTAGGCTTGGAAGGTGAAGACACGGACATCCCTAGAGCAAATTGGCTAGGACTAGCTCTGAGTTTGACTGAGAGCCCCTGTCTCACTGAATAAGGTAGAAGAGCATCTATAAAGGAAGATTCTCAGCATCAACTTTGGTCTTCCACAGGCACATATATACATGTGAACGTGTATACACACACACACCCACACACAGGCAGACATCCACACGCAAGTATATATACAGGCGACAACACTACGTACACAGAAACAAGAAAACAAGTTAAATACAGGACTTTGGCAGACTCTGTACACACACACACATAGCTTCTTGGAGAGAAAGGAAGGATTATCATGGCTAACATCATGCAGGAAAGGCCACTTGATAATAAGAGAGTTCCACCCAAACGTAACTTCTCAATACACAGTTCACAGATGGACGTGTCACTTGTGAGCTCTGCTCACTCATCCCTACACACCTAGATGGATGGCCGCTGATGCTTTTCTCTTCACGCTCCACGGATCTGAACTCTGCTCCAAAAATGTGACCAGGTACGGCTTAGAGAAAGCAAGACCTGTTTGGAAAAGGAATAAGATGCTTGGCTGTTTTTTTTTCCCCCCCAGGATATTAACATTCGGACCCAGTTCTGTACACAGAAGAAAAGTGAAGCAATGATAAAAGATTGTGGGAAATTTTGTGTTTAAACATTTCCATAAAGACAGGATGCTTAGGAGTAATACAACCTGCAGATTCTGAGCCTCATGACAAAGAAAAGTATTAAAGCTAACAGGTGAGACCTCGTGACACTGAGCTTCTAACATTGCCACTGCAGGTGAATACGTTGAAAACAAATCTGTTAAAAACACAAAAAGAAAAGAATTTCTTGGCTATATGAACAAGAGTTTCCTTTTAAAATGGGTATATGAAACGAATGAATAAACTGGGCAATAGTGGTGCATGCCTTTAATCCCAGCACTTAGGGAGTAGGGGAGCAGGCAGATTTCTGTGTTTGAGGCCAGCCTGGTCTACAGAACAAGTCCAGGAAAGTCAGTAGCACACAGAGATACCCTGTCTTGAAAAACCAAAGGTAGTGGGGAGAAAGAAAGAAGGAAAAAAGGGAAGGAGGGAAGGAAGGAAGGAGGGAGGGAAGGAGGGAGGGAAGGAGGGAGGGAGGGAGGAAGGAAGGAAGGAAGGAAGGGAAGAAGGAAGGAAGGAAGGGAAGGAGTTAGTCAAAAGCACAAGCTCTCATGAAATAGTCTTCAAAGGCAGGGAGGCAGTCACATGTTGACGGTGAAATGAGAGTCGACTATGGAAGTTATCCTCACCCAGGAACACAAGGTTGCTGTAATTCTCCAGCATCACGTCCCTGTACAGATTCCACTGAGCAAGGTCCAGGCATTCACATTCATCTGCAGAGAAATCAATGGCCACATCTGTGAATGACAGAAGGTCCTGAAATAAAAATAAACGAAGAGTATAAATTAAATAAATAGGACAAGTAATGATACACATACCAAAGCCAGCAAGCTTGCAGTCACCGTTTGCCCAAGGTGAAGGGAGAGCTAGAAATGCTTCTGAATTGGTATAGAATGTTAATTACATCTCTATTTAAGAAAAGAGAACGACATAAGGGCTAACAGACTTACATGAATATAGTTTTACAAATACAAAATGTAAAGTTTAGGCATTCACAAACATGCACGTTTACTGTGGTATGCTTACATTCTATGACAGGCATTACGTCCATCCCCACAGGGGAAAGACATGGTAAGAAGGCCTCTCTGCACTTAGTAGACACCACCCTGAGACTGAAGTGCAGTAAGATGCAGACCCCATGCAGCAGCTCTGGGCTGGGGCTTCTGAGTGTGCCCTCGCCCCCTGGTGGAGGGAGGACAGGAGCACTAAGGTACAGGAGTTTGAGCAGCCAAGGGGAGATAAGGGAAGAACTCAGATGAAATTTAAGTGCAAGAGTTTTACACATTTGCACATTTCAAAAACAGCATTTGGAATATACTTACACTAACTGTGAGCCTAACTTTAAATACACTAAATGTAATTCTAATACTTTGTTTCTTTCTCCCTCTCTGTCAGGTATTCATGCATCTGCTATGCTCCTAAGGCAGAGTTTGAACTCATGACCCCACTGCACTGCTCTTCGAAGGTCTAGTGTTATCAAAACATGACACTATCGTTTATTTTTTTCTCTTATTTTTAAACTTTCTACATTTCAGCTCACCTGTTTTTCTTATCTCGGTGTATAAAGTGCCACAATGATCTATGAGGTTAGATATTTTTTTATTGTTGATGATAAGCTTATAAAAATGAGAGATTTACATATTAATGATGGATTATATAACATTATATACATGATACATATATACTTTGTTAGATGATTCTATGTGTTTACTTTGCATGGTTTTTAAATAAGCTTAAGCATGTTATTGAAACAAATAGTTTTATATTTAAAATGCTCTAAAGCCTGTCTTCCAGGCTTCTGAAATGCACACTACAGGAGTGTTACAGACTCTCATGATTCTGTGCAATAGTATTCTAAGTGTCACGCTCTTACGTAACTTCATTGTGCACACGCTGGTCAAGACTGCCTGTGCCTGTCTTCCTCAGAACACTGGCCCATTGGAAACACTGGCATTATTTTCAACTTTGGTGAGATCCAATCCTTTAGAGTCTATCTATGGCTAAGATTATATTTTACTTGTCCTTCTAGGTCTGAAATAAACTATATTGTCACAGTCAATCCCCCATGTTTTGAGGCTCAAGAGGACTGTGCTGTATATAAGTGCATATATATATATATATATATGAACAAATGTGGTGCCTCTACTTTCCTTGCTTTGCAAGACCTTCTGCAGCCTCTCAAAAGATTTTCTGATGGTGACAGCATAATGCAAAGTCACGGGGGTTCCCAAAGACACTAACAAGCACAGTTATAAGCTTGAAATGCAGTCTTGGCTCCCTCCACAACACTCCACACAGCTCTAAGTGCTGTGGAGATACTCACAGAAGACAGAACCTCAATGTTGCTGGTCTGTTTTTAATCGCAGCTGATTTCTCAGTCCCAGCTAACAAACACTAATTGTCCCAGTGAAGTAATGGGTTCATGTCAGTAGTGCTGGTCTTTTGTTAATGACAGCTCATTCTTCAGCCCCAGCTGTAGAGAAACCAGAAGAAGGTAGGTGGGGGCAAACTGAGAATTGTGGGAGTCTTTTGAAACCTCAACTTACCTCTAATGACATACCTCCAACGAAGCCACACCTCTTAATCCCTCCCAAACAGTTCACCAATGGAGACCAAGTATTCAAGTATATGAACCTATGGTGCCATATTCATTCAAGCCACCACAGAAGTTTTCCTCTGTTTTATGCATATGAGCTCAAAGTATACTCTGGTATATGCACTCTTTCCTGGGACAATTCCTGCAGCTTAGCTGGGACTATGAAATCAGCTGTGATGGAGACCAGCATCATTAAGGTGCTATCTTACAAGAGTATTTCTTCAGGCTCGGCACACGGAAACTGTGGTGGGAAAGACTAAGACTACATTTCAAACTAGCAGCTGGACTTCATAACGGATGAGCCTCCCACATGGTACTGATTTTGAAGACATGCAGGCGATGAAAAGCAGCTGGGGCTTAGCACTGTGAAAGGCCAGGAGAGGCCATTGGTGGAAAGTGCAGCCTCAGTTGCAGTGGAGACTCCATGAATGACAAGAGTCATGGAAACCAAATACAAGCAAATGTCATAAGATCACACATCATGATCAGGCTGCTTCTGTGCTGGAAATTTGGGGTTGTTTCACTCAGATATTTGACAGAGGCAAAACACACACACACACACACACACACACACACACACACACACACACCATACACTGGAGAAAAGATAACACCTTCAATAAATGATGTTTGGAAAACAGGATGACCACATGCAGAAGAATGAAACTAGACCCGTATCTATTACCCTGCACCAAGTTAGATCCAAGTGGATCAAAACCCTCAATTTGAAATCCAAAACACTAAACTGATAGGAGAAAATATAAGTAGTACCCGACAAGATATAGGTGCAGGAAAGGACTTTTTAAACAGGACTCTATTTGCCCAGAAATTAAGGCCAACAACGGACAGCTGGGATTTCACAGAACTAAAAACTTAGGTACAGCTAAGTATGCGTAGCATATCCAGAGTTAACTTTGACTGACTTCTCGCTTATGATTAATCATGAATGAGTCTGCCAACTTCTGTCTTTGTTTTCAGTTAAGAAGTGCATTATTAGATCCTGCCAATTTCCTGTGCTTATGCATACGTCCTTAAGAGAATGTCCAAGCCTGAACAAAATGGCCTTGGTCAAACTTAGATACTATGTATCATAATCTCTGTCATGTAAGCATTTGTGGTCACTGTTTAACTTCCTAGGATTAGTCATGGTTTCTGTTGCTTGCCTTTAAAAGACACTGAGAAAATACACTCGCAGCTGGCATGGCATTGACCAGCAGCCCTCCCGTACCTGTCTCTTGTATCTTCTTTCTGTCTTTTCTAAAAATCATCCTCACTCCCCTATTCATAGTTCCTGAGTTGACTAACCAGCAGCCTCCAGTAGCTTAGGAAACAACCAACTGAGCTAAGAAGAACCCCACAGAATGGGAGAGAACCTCTGGTATCTATACATCTGACTGGGGATTTATGCCCAAAATATACAAAGAACTCAAAATACAAAGATTCAAATGACACAATTAAAAAGTGAGCTAGGAATTGATACAGAATTCTCAACAGAAGAAATGAAAATGGCAACAACAACAACAACAACAACAACAACAAAAAAGTATCTCAAAAAGTGTTCACCATCCTTAGCTATTAGGGAAATCAAATTCAGACAACATGGAGATTCCATCTCACCATAGCTACAAAGGCTAAGATCAGAAAATGCTGGCAAGGACTGGAGAAAAAGGAACCCTTATCCACTGTTGCTAAGATTGCAAACGTACAGCAATGCTGGAAATCAGTATGGAGAATAAACAAACAGCTAAACGTTAGTGTACTGTATGAGTTGGCTACACCACTCCTTGGCATGTGCCCAAAGGATTGTACATCCTACTCCACAAAAACTAGCTCAAACATGTTGGTTGATTCTCTAGTCAAGATGGCTACGAAATAGAAACAGTTTAAATTTAAATTTCCTTTATCTGACAAGTGAATAATGAAAATGTCACACACACACACACACACACACACACACACACACACACACACACACACTCACGCACCATGGAGTACTACTAAGCTGTAAGTAAAAAATGAATCATGTACTTTGCAAGTGAATTTGTGGACCCAGGAAAGACAACATTCTATGTTGACACAGAATGACAAACGCCACAAGTCCTCTCTCATCAGTGGTTCCTAGCTCCAAATTTACAGATGTGAGTTATACAGCATGAAGTAACCATGGAAACCAGGACTGGATAAAGGGAGCACTGGGGGAGGAGCATGAGGGAGGAGTAGCAGGGCACAGGTGCTCTAAAGTGGAAAAGGGAGAAGCTGCAGGGGGCTTCAACTGGGAAGAGGGAGGGAGGTAAGTACAGATGGAGAGGGGGTGAATAAGGAAAATATCACCAAACCTCATGAAATCATATTAATTTATACTTACCAAAACTTATACACTGTACATTGTATGTATACATAGACAAAACCCACAAGAACTCTCAACCCCAGAGCTAACTCTGTAGGCCTCGTGATGTTTAATTTTTTAAGTTATTTTTAATTTTGTGTATAAGTTGTTGCTTGTATGTTGGTGTCCAACCTGGTGCTCCTGGAGGCCAGAAGTTACTGGTTCCCTGGCACTACAGTTATAGACAAGTATGACCCACCATGTGTGTGGTAGGGACTGAACAGTGTTCCTTTGCTAGAGAAACGAGTGTTTCTATTTTAAAAATAAATTCTTTTTGACAATCTCACGTAGCACACGTAGCCTTGAATTTGGCGTTTTCTTTTAAATAGGTCTGTTTGATAAATATATGAAATATAAATGTGTATGTATGTATATATATTAAATGTATATATGTGTGACCTGTGATATAAGCATATTGCTGTATCACTTCTACCTTCTAAGAAACGAGATTTAAGGTTCAAGAAAATGTACTTTTCACATCTTAAACAGTGTTAAATTACATATTCATAGTTTCCTGAACATTAGTGGCATTAACTACAAAGTGTCCGGATTATTTTAATTATAGTTAGATAATACATAGAAAATATTTGTATTTACGATAAGGCTGTTTAAAGCCCATGCTTCTTAGGAGAAGATCTTAACGCTGTCAGTCAGTCTCCAGCACACAAATCAATTTGACTGAAGTGTGGCAAAAATGCACTAAGGACTGGGTCAGCAGCCAGCTGTATACAAAGAACAGGGTCAGCAGCCAGCTGTATACAAAGGACACGGTGAGCAGCCAGCTGTATACAAAGGACAGGGTGAGCAACCAACTGTATACAAAGGACATGGTGAGCAGCTAGCTGTATACAAAGGACAGGGTGAGCAGCCAGCTGTATACAAAGGACAGGGTCAGCAGCCAGCTGTATACAAATGGCAGGGTGAGCAGCCAACTGTATACAAAGGACATGGTGAGCAGCCAGCTGTATACAAATGGCAGGGTGAGCAGCCAGCTGTATACAAAGGACAGGGTGAGCAGCCAGCTGTATACAAAGGACAGGGTGAGAAGCCAGCTGTATACAAAGGACATGGTGAGCAGCCAGCTGTATACAAATGGCAGGGTGAGCAGCCAGCTGTATACAAAGGACAGGGTTAGCAGCCAGGTGTATACAAAGGACATGGTGAGCAGCCAGCTGTATACAAAGGACAGGGTTAGCAGCTGGCTGTATACAAA